CATCCATCCATCCATCCATCCATCCATCCATCCATCCATCCATCCATCCATCCATCCATCCATCCATCCATCCATCACGCTTAAACAAACCATAAACAAGTAATCTCATGCCCTTTCCACAGAGTTGCGGAATCCTCCCCCCTTATAAATATTTTATTTTCTGTGAAAAAGTGTCGATCATTCTTTAATGAGATCCTCGTCAAACAGATGTGCTATGTTTGTTTTTAAAACCTAATGTGTGTAACGGACCCAGTGAATGATATATTTTTAAGTGCACAAAAGTACGACAAAAATCTGACTAAATTAGGAAATAAAACAATCTGATTGGCTGTAAGGAGAGAGGACATTCTGAGTTTACTGAAGAAAACCTGCTACCGACCAGGTTAGCTCTTGGGAGAATCTTATTACGTTGACTGAAAAAGAGGTTTAGGAAACTCTTTGTGAACCAGGAAAGAGTTTCCCTGTTTTTAGATTTAGAAAACTTTTTAGTAAACCTGCTTTATGAAACGTACCCCAGAACTATTATAAGCAAAGTGTTTTGCAGTTCACTTGAACAAATGGAAACATTTGATGCCAATATTTTTTCTAAAGAAGGTGAATGCCTAAAAAACAAAAAGTACAATCTCATAGTAAACATGTAGGTCTGTCATGATCTGTACTGTAAAAATTTGGTGCAAAAAATACATTTAAGAACAGGTACCACCATAAACCTGCAGAGACAGCAGAACTCTACATCCTGCCAGAGAACGGTTCTGTTCTGCTCTATGGATTTGGTATTTTTTGCAGTAAATAGCCAAAGAATAATACAGCTAAGCAACTGGGTATGCTAGGGCTCCATCTAATATGGATAATGTTGTTTGAATCCATAATGCCCCTTTCTGGCCCATCTTCATTACCGAGGCAGCTGGACTTAACTGGTAGTATTTCAACCAGAAAGGCTGAGCCTCTGACCTGTTGATGTAAAAACATCTTTTTTTAGCTGCAGGTGCATACTTTGCTTTAAATAACATACACTAAAGAAATGTAATGTTTGGGTATAATATGCTGGCTTTATTTTTTAAACAATAATTTAATTAATTACTTGCATTTTCTTTTTCATGTAGTTCTGTCACTTGTAAACAAGTTCAACAAGTTAAAATAAATATCTGCCAATTAATCAGTACTCATTACTAAAGAAATCAATATCTGCAGCACTATTTTAATTGTTTCTTTAAATGAAATCTGCACCGAATGTGTCTAAACTTTCAAAATGAGCCCCATGGTAAGCACTTGTGGTGGTTTTTTAGTCATGATTATGAATCTAGAACTTCTAGAACTTCTCAGGTTCCTGGAAAAAAGTTCCTCAGGTCCAAATCTTCTACCTTAAATGAACTGCAGTCATTCCACTGTCAAAATTCATTTACTTTTTAATGACTTCTGAAGTTTTTCATGAAAATATAACTTTTTATAAGATTTTATTTTTCTCAGTAACTGCTTCCAAACCAAAGAGTGTTGAAATGCAGATAAATCCCAGTAGCATTTGGACCTTGTGTTTACTTATCAACATTTTTGAGTTTTCAAACATTTGATCACCAGTTGTACTTAGAAAAAAAATACTTGTAAACTGCTGGTTTTACACTTTACTGTTCTTTTCATCAAAATGAAAAACAAATTTAAACTATTATCCGCTTAAATAGGAAGGTTATTAACTCAGGTAGCTAGCCTGCAGTCTGATGCTTTAAAGGTGTTATTTGCCAACTATTGTTAGGTTGAAATTAGCGTTTGGAGGCGTTATTTCAGTTCATATACCATGGCCGCTCCCTTTATGAGGTGAATTCAAACTGAATGCCTCTCTAAGACCCTTCACCCCAGAATGCTCTCCGAATGCTTCCAGCTGCCCACTGCTTCCTAAGGAAAAACCGCAATAAAAATTAAGTCTTTATAATGTAGCTGACAAATCATCTGAAAATGTCCCTTTATAATTTTTTCCACTTTCACAGGTGCACAAGAAAGACAAAAAATACAAATGCATGGTCTGCAAAAAGATCTTCATGCTTGCAGCCAGTGTGGGCATCCGCCACGGGTCACGGCGCTACGGCGTATGCGCCGATTGCGCCGACTCACACCAAGCCACTCAGGAGGGCCTGGAGGGCATGGAGTTTCCTCGCGACGAGGACTTCGACGGGGAGGAAGTGGAGGACGTGGAGGGAGAGGAGCCCACCGACAACGACCAATCAAACTGGGGTGAGGGCAGCGCTGCCGCCGCCCCAGAGGAGGACTGAGAAATAGAAGAAAGCTTGAGAAACAAATCTGAAAAAAAAAGTTGATGTTTAATATATATTAATGTAAACAAAACCTAGCTGGTAAACAATCAACTCCAAAGTGCTATCAAACCTCGAGGTTACTTAATTGTGCAAGTACACAACAAAGATGATTTTTTTTTTTTTTTTTTCGCTTTATCAGTGTGGGAACTCCAAGATGTACAGATTTTATTATGACGATAATATGTCCAACTATGGGCCAAGCGCCTATAAGAGAATGATTCTAATGGCGAATTCTGTGATGAATCAGGTTTTTGGTGATGTATTTTTATTTCCTGTTTGTTTTCGGGGTGCGCGTTTGGTGGGGTGTTGTACTTTTTCTTTTTATTCAAGTTGAGGTAGGCCAATCATCTAAACAAAGATATGTTAATTATTTAATTTATGAAAAGAGCTTATTATGGTCTTATTAAATGCTATAATTTGTTTTTCTGTTGTCATTTTTTCCGTGTTAGTGAGCAAGCGTAAAGCGTGTTGCTTGAAGCACACAGACGAAGAGCATTATTGTCCACAGGTAGAGTGATACTTGCTCTGTAGCTGTTTAGATGCGCTAAATATTTTATTCGTTCCTGTTTTGTTTTTTCGTTTTTTTTTGTTGTTCTGATTTCCTTTCCCTGCAGAAATCTTGGAACCAAAAAAATCTGTTTTGTGACTCTAATGTATCACAGCCATATTTATGATTTAATTTAAACAAAAAACAAAAAAAAAAAGGCTGTGATATCGTGCCAAACAGACCGCACACCAAGATTTAGCAGGAAACAAAAACTACTGAATATACTTAAAAGAGAAACAAAGACAACATTGGGTTTGTTGTTTTAGATAGGGTGGGGAAATATTAGAAAAAGAGGGGAAACGTTATTGCTAGCTTTATACAAATCACAGCGTCACAGTAACACTTTATTATTATTATTATTATTAAACAAAAGCATTTGACTTTCACTTAAAGCTTGAATTTTTGCCAAATGATGAAACGTTTGGTGCTGTAATGCTTGTCGCAGAATACTGGACCTACAGGCTATATATGATGTTTATAATCATAAAAGCTTAAACTGACTCAGTTATGCATATGTAATCAGCTTAATCTATAGAACACTGTTGTGCTACGGCGACTATCAGGTATGCTTTTGCCATCGTTTTAAAGCTTTGTATTTTTAATTTAACGCACGCACACACCATTTTTTTTTTTTTTTTGGTAAGACTACCAACTGTACTTGTGATTGCCATCTTGAGGACCTAAATAGACATCGATTATCTGTTTAGTTTATTTTTTTTGGTACGGAGGTTGAAAGCTAAAAAAACACAAATATATATTTCTAATCACTTGAACGTTGGTTTGTGATGGGGCGGGGTTAGAAAAGCGCAGGAAGTCATGACGCCTGATGTTTTAAGTCTAAAGTAACTCCATTTTTTTTTTTTTTTTTCTGTTTTGTTAAAGTCATCAGTTTAATTAGTCGTTCTAAGTGTGTGTGTTTATTTTTGTTTTTCTTTTAAGGTCTGCCAGGTAGAAAAACACTTTGTTCCACAAAAAAGTGAAGCTCTATGGCGCCTCATAGACATGCACTTACTTCTCATGAAAAGGTTGTCTTTTTATGTTTGTGTCTCTTCCCCCAAAAGCGGGTCTGAATGGAACTATATAAAATCTGTTGTCTTTCTTCCAGTCGCTTTTTTTTTAAATAGATGTCCTTTTTTTGTTATTTAATATTATATATATACATATATATATAGACTCCAAAATGCAATCAAGACTGTTAATTTCTATTTGTCCAACCAAAATGTTTTTATTAATTATTGTCTAAATATAATGTATGCGGAAAAGCCAGGTGAATACTTGCGTAGTGTAGAGAAAAACAAAAATCCTTGCTTGTGTCTGTAACTGAGATTTAAAAAAATATTTTTACGCTTCAAAATCATTCACTTTACCTTTTTAAAAAAAAATGTTTTTTGTTCTTTTCCACTAATGTTTTCCTCCTTTGTTTCACCAAGCACATGTCTTTTTTTTTTCTTTGTAAAGAAACACAGATTGTTTGCGGGTTTAAACCTCGGAACAGCAGTATCTGTTCGTATGCAGTGAAATTATACAGTATGTATTGAAGTGCTAATGATACCGAAGATGTGTAACTTCCTTTTGACGCTCAGTGGAAGAAGATATATTTTAAGTCATAGAGATATTCATCCTCTTCGTGTCACTTTTACCTTCAATTCACAGTGGGAGAGGTTATGTTGTGGATATATATATATATATATATGTTGAGAATATATGAGATAAATATATATATATATGTATGAAGAATATATGGATTTAATGGAAAACAGTCACAAACCTCCTACTGTGGTGAACTTTTGAACCTTTTGCTTTCTCCGTTCACACCGTGTGCTCGTTCATCTCACCATGTTTGTTCTTTTGATACTATTTACCATCCTACTGATTTTACTGTAATGAATGAAACTTAAAAGCTATGATGTATCATAATAGATTTCATGCTGTATTTGTTATATGGACAACAACAAAAGAAAAAAAACCCTCACAAAAACCGGAAAAAAAAACACACAAAGCAAAAACACTACAGATGTAAAGCAGAGGTTTTTTTTCCCCCAGCTGTATTTTTTTACGCTGTTGCAAAAAAAAAAAAAGGTTGTATTTTTCAACTCTTCTCTTTATCTCTCGGATTTTAACAATGATGCAAAACCCGGGGCGGCGCCTCAGTGCCCTTTTTTTCCGAACACAAAGTAAATTCAGGTTACTCTTTTTACGTTTTTATCAAAGGTTTTCAAAGATGGAACTACATTTTCCTTTTTTTTTTTTTTTTCTGTCTGAATTGTACTACTGTTCCTCTCTGTACTACATTTTACGAATAAAACTTTGATATTGCTTTAACTGTTTTGTGCACCTATTTTCATCAAGAATTTTTTTTTTTTTTTTCTTTAGATGATTTGTAGGAAGTTTGTGCCTCTAAGTGCTGAAGCAGCTTATGCTGAGACGGACTTCGCTGTCTGAGGTGCAAATAACAGCTTTCAGTGTGACACACCTGTGGTTAACAGATGACAAACAGTTTACTGTTAGTATAAATCATACCTGCTCCTACACTGGCATAACGGCTGATTTCCAAGCAGAAGAAAATATGAGGTATACCATAGCAGCTTTATTTACTGGGCTCTATGAACACCCAGAATAATTAGATAACATTTGCAGCTTATGAAACCATAACAAACCAATATTTGAATCGCAAAGACCTCAATACAATAAAGCTGTGTTTTTGTAATAAGACATACAATGAGTAAGAATGAAGATGGAAAAAATGTGTGAAATTAACGATGCAAGAAGTCAACACCTCTGTGTCAAAGGCCAAAGAGATGAGACAGGTTTTAACACTTTATCATCCATCTTACCATATTTGGTAACTTGATTTAAACACCATTTTGTAGCAAACAAGGCCAAATGATGAGGTCAGCTCTGGTCTGCAGGGTCTACCTCTGTCTTAGAGCTGAGTGTAGCTGCTTTAAAGATTACTAAGAGTCATTTAATGTTGCTTAAGGTGCTCGATATGTTAACTACTGTAAATAGAGGTTAAAAAAAAGTTTAGTTTATGACTTAAGCCAAGTAAGATAGTGAAAATGTAATTCAAAAAGTTATAAAGCTAATTAAAGAAGGTTACTTTTCAGTTTTCTGGAATTATAGAAGCACTCTGCATTAATCTTTTTTACTAGTTTAGTCCAGGTGACTTTTTGGCAATAACATTTATTGCAACTGTCAAATTGTCCTTGATATTTGGCATGAAAATATTTTTTTTAATGTTACAAGTAAAGGGGTCTTTTTCTATTCTCCAATAACACTCTTGATTTGAAAATTTGCTTGCAATTTTACCGAGATTCCCATTAAGGTGTAAGAAAATATATTTTTTTAAATTAAAAGACTTAAAAAAAAAAAAGTAATCAGTCTATTTTACCTTTCCACCTTCTTTGATTTGTTTTTCTTTATCTTCATTCACTTTTCCCACCTTACTTGCTCCATGCAGCCATTCATTGTTTTAAAGACTGATCTATTCATCATCATCATCATGCATCAGCATATAGCTCCAAAAAGACACAAACAAACCATGCAACAGTGTCTGTTAGATAATCATGCATTAACATTACATTTCTATCAGAAGATATTTTACAAAGAAAAAAAAAATCCCTTTCCTGCTGACCATTAAGGGATCCAGAAATGCTGCCATCTGCTGTTGAGGGCTCTATTATAAGCATTAACTGTTATTTGACGCTAGGTGGCAGCACTTACCCATTACTTTGCTGTAAGGAAGCCGATTGATTGTAACTGAAGCCCTGCAGAGATGCTTTAATGATTATGGAAGCCATTAAGCAGCACCTGAGTTAATTTTAGCTTATTTTTTTATGAATTTCAAAGAGGAGTTCAATAATGCAGATTTTTTTTTATATTCTGACTTTTGACCCTCTGCTAAGGATCTTTTTTTTATGTAAATTGATAAATATCCATTCCACAGATAATCTCTGCAGATAAGATCACTCTTTCTCTGCGGTAAGCACATGATGAACACATGTGAAACCACACATGATTTTAGCAGACAGCATTAAATCCTTCTGTGACAATTTACTTAGCGTTATCTGAAGGACCTTATGCAGTCTCTTCCACCCGTCAGTGACTGAAACAAATTGGAAGAATGCATTAAGTCCTCTCCAGATGAATGTTTTGACATTTTTTTTCTGCAGCTCTCAGAGTTTTCTAACAGAGATGTTCCCCAGTGAGCTTGGTTGCGTTTTGTGAGAGAAACAACCATCAAACACTGGCACTGCAGCCAACCACACACTACCCCATTCTTTCTCCTGCCTCCTTCCCATTCACGGGGCCTTTTGTGTGGGTGTCTGTCAGCGGTGTTGTCTGCAAGTCAGGCCTCCATTGTGTCAAACCACTGCTCCTTATTGACACAGGGCCCCCGGTGCTTCATGTTCCCATGGCCCCCCAGCCCACGGCGGACGGAAGGCTGAAACCGGAGCCCTGGACCTGGGGAGAGTTTGTTTGCACTCGCCTTTCCCTCCCTCTCTCCCCTGGTGCTTCTGTAGTCTGTGTCCACAGGGCTGGGCGGCAGCGTGGAGCAAGTGTGCATTTGCTGTCAGAGGATGTTTGGATTTGTGAGAGTGTATGTGTAGTTTGTTTGACACTGAAATAAAATGGGAAGACTTCTAATCATATGGTCACAGCTGCAGGGAAAACACACTGCCACCCACTGTGAATGTATGTAGCATGTATGTGCATGTGTGTATCTTACCTCCTCCATGTGACGGACCCCTGCTGTTCTCAATACCTTGACATGTGACGGTGCTGAGGTCAAGGGGAAAGCAAACATTAATGCAGATCATTATACCCTGATCACTGCTATCTCCTGTGTGACCTGCTCTGACCCCTACCATGGTGGCAGAAGCAAATCCGGGTCTTAGCAAGTCAGACTTTAAAACTAACATTCAGGCAAAGCAGCAAGACTAAAATCACTGTGAAGGACAAGTTCCTATTCTTTTTATCATTTTTTTTTTTGGGTCCCAAACACTGATTAAATATGCCCAACACAGCAGAAATAAAGTATTTTATTGCTGTTTTCACTCCTTCGAAACACAAAAACGGTTCAGCTGTACAGAGAGGAAAGGTCTTACAGCGTAAATAGCCTATAATTAGCAGAGTAGCGTTCAAGAGTAACGTTCAGAGGTCAGATCCTGGAATGACAGCATACAGAAGACACGTTTATCTAGAAAAAAGTATAGAATTTCTTAACTGCTGTTCTCAACATTCAAGTTAACTATTATTAGAAGGACAGGGTATTTATCAGCTTTCCTTACAGCTGTAAAACATCTGTTACCAACTGAGATTCAGTCTTTTAAGAAAAGGATTTTTAAAATGATGCACTATCTATACGACATAGCCATGTTAGATTTTAATGCATAAAACATAAAACTTAAATAACCTCATGAAAGTAGCCAAATAACAAAACTGAAATGAATTATTTAAATAGTATTTCATTCTTTGCATATATATATTTATCGGTGTTAAAGAAAGACTTTGACACTGTATAACTCCCATCCTTGTGTCCATCCATCCATCAGATATGTACATAAATATGCAATCCTGGCAGAAAGATAGAACATAAACACACATATATTCACACAGACAGAAAGACATTACTGTGCGAAAATAAAAGGACCAATATGATGTAGAGAGTTTGCTTGTGTCTGGTGTTGTTCTCATTTATATCCTGCCTTTATTTAGGACCAACAAATCTAAGTGAGTTCCTACAGCCGGCATGCACATAGTAACACACTTGCTTTATGCATCACATTGTTTGTTCCAGGTGCTGCAGGCTGGGTGACAGAAATGCCTTGTTTGTGTCCCTATATATCATCACTTATCTGTAGGCCGACTGTTGATCCAAACCATGCACACAGAGACATGCACAACGCTGTGTCACATTTTAAACTTGGGCTTTGATCTCATGTTTGCTGCATGTGTTACCCAGGGTCGGCCTGCATCTGTTCAGAGCCGTGTGTTTGTTTATAAGCATCTGTCGGTGCAAGTGTTTGTGTGTGTGTGTCTGTGTGGGAGAGCATGGTCCATGTGAGAATGCATACACACACCGTGTCATCTCAGCGTGTGTCCCTGCTCGTCTGTGTTGTCAAGAACGGCCACGTGTGTGTATATATGTGTGTGTGTTTAGGAAAAGGTGCCGGTTCCCACAGCTCAGATCTAATTCGGCTGTAACTCAATCTCCGTGTGAGTGCCTCTTCTACAGTGCTCTCCTCTCCCTCTGGAGTGTGTGTGTGTGTGTGTGTCAGGGAGATGTTTCCCCTCTCAGACCCCTCAGGATCATGTTACCGTGTCAATGCCAGGAGCTTGACGGCAGCAGCGTAAAGTCATATTCACACACTTAGACATATATTCACAGCCATAAATTGAGCTCAGACTCCCTGTGGCAGCCTTTCAGACATCTGCAGAATGATCCCATTTCAGCAGTGAGTCCTGCAAAAGTAGTCAGCCGCTTCCCAATTAATAATAATGATAATAAACAACAACCAGCATCCAATGATATTAAAAGGAAATGGCCAAGGTTACAGCTTTTAATATTTCATAATCACTGAGACTTACAGAGATTAGATCACATATTACATTTATCCTCTATAACAAAGCAGCAGGACATGTCCAATCCATTCACTTGCTATCTATTAAATTATTCTAAAAGTTAGCTTTTGCAGTTGAATCTGGCAGCCTTTAAAAGTGAACACTTCTTATCAAAAAATGTATTTTTATTTGAAGATTTCTTGGACTAAATGTTGCATTTGGGGCTTTTAAAGATGTTTATATGAACATTTGCATATTTTTTTTTTGAATACTAGGAGAATACTTTGCAATGAATCAGAGCTTGAAACCATTGATCAGCTGATAGAGATAAACGTGCTGTACCTACCTGCTGAGGATGCAAGGTAAGGAGGCAAGCAGAGAAGCAGAAGGAGTCGGTTTCAGACAGAAAACAAATTCAAACAGATGTGAGCGAGTGTGGGAGCGCTGTGTGTGTTATTGCATCTATGTTTGTGTGCACTGGGGGGAAAAAAAAAAAAACACCGTGAGGGATCAGAAAAGACTGCTGGGGTGGGGGGTGAAAGTCTGTGTTTGGGAGCAGTGAGAACATGTTGGAGTGTTTGTGTGTAAACAAAAAGTGTGTGTGCAACATTATTCAGGCAAACAGCAGTACCTCGAGAGCTTTAGTGTTTGGTGGTCACTGGTCTGAGCACAGCGTCCTTTTTCATTCCTCTATTCATGGGGGTTTCTTTGTGTTTTAGTTTCTGGCATTTAGAACAGAAGGAA